TAAACTATCAATTCGGGGCTTGAAAGATTTTTTTTCTCAATTCGGGACCTGAATGTTATAAAACTATCAAAGTAAGTCCTACAATTAACAACACTCATAAAACCATTAAATTGAAAGTTAATTTTAAGTTTTAAAACACTAAATTTGAAGAAAAATAAAAAATTGTTGCTTACTCACATAAAATAATAAGTAAACATTTGCAAAATATATATATAAAAAAAAAACATATTTGGTGTTTTTAAACTTAAAATTAACTCTCAATTTAATGGTTTTATGAGTGTTGTTAATTGTAGGACTTAATTTGATAATTTTATAATATCCAGGTCCCGAATTGAGAAAAAAAAAATCTTTCAGGTCCCGAATTGATAGTTTACCTATCTTTCGGGCCTTGTATTGAAAAAACTCCTTATAAATCCTATTGCCCATATTTGAAGCAATGAACGAATCTAATTAGCCTTTTCTTGGTTTAGTACGAATCTAATTAGCCTTTTCTTGGTTTAGTGAGCTTCTCCTTTTATTCCTTTTTTCCCCCTTTGATTAATTATATAAAAGCACAAAGATTATGCAACATTATACTAATTAGATATGGTTGGGTATAAAGCAACAACTAAAACGAATATAGGAGTGTTATTCGAGCCGAGTCGAGCAGCTAGTGTTCGTTCAATGAACGAGGCGGCTCTCGGCTTGAGCGTCGCCGTTTAAATTCGTGAAATCCCAACTCAGTTCAGCTCAATTCGAATTGTTCAGTAACCTATTTAACTGGGCCAACTCGATTATTCTATTTATAATCTATTAATAAATATAAATAAATAAACGAGTTGTCCGGGACAAACTCAAACAGTTCATTTAATAAACAATTTTGAATTAGTTGTTTGAGTTCGACTTATTTAAGTAAAAGAATAAATTAAACTCAAGCTTTCACGAGTCGAGTCAGAAACAAACAAATCAACATAACACCTTTATACGACAAATTATTTATTATTCGATCAATTATTGTTTGAATATGTTTGTTTCCGTTTGGCATGTAATTGGGTGGCGGCCTGGTGGAGTCAACTTTACGCCATTTTCCTAACGGGTGGGCCCAACTAAACCGGTCGCAGACTCATGATGGGCTTTGTTTGCGGTTATAATTAGCTCGTAAGTGGGCTTTCAAGTTGTCGTGTAGAGGACCACTTTGGATACAAGTTGTGGACGAGCTCGTGATTTACAATCATACGAATTGTGATAACTACCTTGTTACGAGAATTTTCGTCGTTATTAGAATGTAATTACAAACACGTCATCATCAGAGCTTTTGATTTAAATTGGTTCGTTATTATTATTATTTTTTTTTTATTGTTTGTTAAGCTTTTGAATTTGACAGGACAAGTTGGATACGAGTGGTTTAACCAAACATATGACTATCAATCATGTGTCAACTATAGGAGAAATTTCGTCGTTATCGAAATGTGAATTGTTTAAATCACTTCAAATTGTTGTGTGAGCCGACAGTCACGATTAGATGAATCGATTCGTCATACTTTTTTTTTTTTTAATAATAAAAAACATATACATGCGTTATTAAATGCTATACTTTCATTTACATTGTTTTTTTAAAAATAAGACATTTCAATTTAAAAGTATGCATATCTGTTTATAATCGACGCCTAACAATAGCCTTACTGTTAAATTTGTTATACACGTTCAAGAAATACGCTCAAGCCCCCAAGGTAAGCAAGACCGGCTCAAAAAGCCATGCATCATGCCGATCTCTCTGCCAAGATAATTATCGATCCCTCTGTAGCCGATCACTCTGCATAGTATGAACAACCTCTGACAACAGGACAGGTAAAACAACGCCTAAACAATCCCATCATGCAAAGCCAAAGTGCATATTCCATCCACATAAGTCGAATTTTTGCATGACAACAGGTGTCGACAAAGTAGCCCCTAAGGTGGCATATTACCATTATTGTATTTTTATTTTTCTCGTAAATAAATGAGGCGCCTAGTACCTCATACAAGCAATAACAATTATATACCATACTAAAAACAACACACTCATAATACAAGTTTCTATTGATGATCCACCAAGCGATCGACGGACCATGTGTGTTTAATTTCCCGTACTTTCAATTCGGTTTGTGCGCTATTATCACAAATCTTGCCTATAAATCACCCCTAATACATCCTCAATTTCTTAAGATAGTTGGTGATCGGTCGTCAACAAATTGACGCTAGAGGAAGGGGCCGATCAAAAAATTTTGGTAAGTCGTCGGATCAAAAGTTATCTGGGTGGTCTGGATTGACCATGTAAGATGGATTTTGCAGATGCCAAAGGTTGGCAAATCTTGAGACTAATTTTGAAAAAAAAAAAAAAAAAACACGGTGTATATCAAAGACAGTGTGTGATGGTTTCTGAAAGAATGTTTCTGACAGACACAATTATCGAGGTAGTGTTATTTACAACAATAAAGTTTGACATGTCAACTGGGATTGAACAAAGGATTCTTGCACAAGTCAAGATAGCTCGTCCAAAAATTTATTGGGGAGGGGGGAGCGCTAGATGGTATAACACCAAGAATAGCTCGGTGAACCGACCAAGAGTGATTAGCTCGGAGGAGGTTGGTTCAAGGGAGCTCAATCGATTTCCAGCCCATAATCATGTCAGAGAACCCACTTAGGTGACTCGAGTTATAGGTTGGCGCAGTCGGATAGCTTGGAGATCGGAGAGCCTCAAGAACTTGGATACTCGAGTGGACTTTAAGACTCGTAAGTCGTGAAGGTGGAGGTGGTGGTTACGATCTAGGTATAGCTTGTTCCAGGTAGAGAGGCCGTGGTTACAACCTCGGGACCTAAGAGTCGTGTGGTAAGAGGGGGTATAATCTTTCATGAGTGGAAATTGTATCTTGCTAAGGATTCTCAGATGTTAGAGACATGGTAAGTTAAGAAGGTAGATAAAGAAATATCTCTTTCCTAACTAGGACTACCCTAAGTATTAAGGGTAACCAGGTTCTCTTATTATTTTGTAAACTGCATACACGCACAAATCAACATACATACTATCAACTCTCTCTCACGGGTAAGACACTGACTTGAGCGTCGAAGGTTTTTCGACGGGATCTCTCTCAGGCGTTTTGCAGGATTACTGGAGCTCAGAGCTTTTGGTCGTTTGTGAGACCGTGATTTATCCTAATCGCACATCAACATACAATGGGCGCGTGAAACTAAGTATCAAATGTGTGAATCATACTATCGAGTACTATATATATTAACAAAAATCAAACTTATATAGTATCAAATGTCTCACTCAAATGTGGGAAGGGAGCCTGCGGCAGTCGAGGAGGCTAAGCGGCCTAACAAGGAGTCAGAACCATTCATCTGGACCCGTAGGCCGTGTAAGTCTGTACATAGTCAGCATATGTTAAATGGAAAGATTCGAATCCGATTATTAGTTCCGCTGCGCATATGATTCTTTTCTTAGACTCTCAATCGATTCAAAGCACGATCAACAAGCATCCTTCACTGAATCTAACAATTAATATCATAGTCATGGTTATTTCGGTGATTGTGCAATGGTCGAAAGAGATCATGAGTGAACTATTTACGTATGGTGCAGGGCATGGTAGTGTAGAGTTGCATGTTTGAAGTCCAGGGCATGGTAGTGTAGAGTTGCATGTTTGAAGTCCAGGATTCTTAGATCCACTATTATGGCCATAGGAATGTATGATTTTACTGTTCATGTATGTGTTTGTAATGTCTAAGTCATGTTGAAGAATTTTGGGTTGGTGATTGATTGTAATAAATTTAAACACACAGTGGGACACCGTATAATTTACTTTTCTAGATCAAGCATGTAAACCCCAACGTGGGCCGTAGAAAAAATATTTTGTAATTTTTGTATTTGATATGACGAACGCGGCCTACCAGACGACGAACAATCAAAGACCGAAGGATCCTCAAAGAGGCAGCCCAGTCGCAAGTCTCAGCGATGGAGGCGATTGTCTCGGAAACCGATGCATGTACAACGACAGGGGATCATCTCCCGGGATGCCAGGTCATGTATCGAGTGGTTGGGACTTAGGCCAGGTTCTGGTGATCGAGACAAAGTAGTCGGAC